CTAATGGGTAATATGATACTATTGGGTCTGAGGTGTGTAGGTAGAATAGATACTGCGCTTTGTATCCCAAAAACATCCTTTCTTTTTTTTTTTTTTTTTTGTTCTTTTCCTTTTTTTCGTTTCTGTTCCAGAGATTGAGAAAGTTCCTTGGCCAATCATCATCTTGAAAAGGGGTTTCTGCAAAAAAGCTGCTTGCAGTCTTCATCTGGATCGTGCAACCTTTGCCAAGAACAGATGTAACTCTGGCTGGAAGCTCTCCTGAATCCTCCCTTCCTGGTTATTACTCCTGGAAAGAGAAAGACGCACCATCAGAACAGTGAACACATGGTGTCCCAGCAGCTCCTTGCACAAACGACCACCGTTGACACATGCTTGGGTGTCCTCAAGGATCGCTGGCCATGGGACCCACAAAGAGTTGACCTTGAAGAGCAACCACCTGTAGGTGCCGGAGTCCACATAGAGCAGAGGGACAGGCAGGGAGAGGATGAAGAAGTTGTGGAGAAGAAATGCAACCAGGTAATTAGGTGCTGGCTCCAGGTCCTGCTACAAAAAAATTAGAAATGATAGCAAATACCTGTTTTTGACAAGGCCTACAGCTTTTTGGGTCTATTTTCAGCTTCAGAAGCTGATCTCAGAATTACAGAGGGAAAGCAAAGGAGTTGGGACAAGCTGGATCTGTGCAGGATATGGGGTTTATTTCTGCATTTCAGTCTTTGCATGTACTTTTCTGTGTGCACAGCTTCTCAGCCGGCAGGACTGCAACCTGTCCCTTTTGCCTGCGCATCCCCCAGCATCTGGCTACAGAGTCTTATGGCCAGGTCCACTGGAAAATGCACAACTCCAAAGCACAGCAGCTTTGGACAGGGAAAGCCTCATCTAAACCCCCTTTAGCATTAAAATAAGCCCCGCGAATATCCCACAAACAATCCTCAGCATAGTTCAAAACGGACTAAAATCCTCAGGGCCTGCTCTTTCATGAGATCACATCTCCGTTGTCCAAATTGCCTTCATCACGTGGGCTCCTAAATCCTCCTTTAAGTAACTTAGGAATTAGAAACTTGGAAATGAGATCCCATTTACTGAGTCCAACCACCGTTTCTTGCCTTTTGCCAATGGATTTAAGAGCCCTTCAGGGTGCAGTACGGCCTCTGAAAGTCCTTTGGACACGGTCATCAATTCCCTGGACAGATCAGGCGTCTTTCTGACAGTCTTAAAAAGGTCAAACTCCTTAAAGCTTGGCCTGAAAAGCCTTCATGCCTCAATCCGTTTTGTTTCTGTACTGCCTCTTCTTTTCCATTACTGGATATTGTAACATTGAGGTATAAAATATTACTAAGATGCTGATTTTTTATTTTATTTTATTACTATCATTAGGGCAGCTGTTGGTGAGACCAACCATCACAGCTGAGCATCAACACAAAAGAACCCCAAATCCACCTTGCCACCCCCTCCTGCAAAGTGCAGACTCTGGGAAGCACAGGATTGTCAGACTTTCCCTCAATAACAGTATTTCACTGAGAGCACCAAGGTCATCCTCCATGCAAGAAATGCTGGTCTCTGCTAGACCCCAGACTCTTGGAGTTGGAGTCAGCACATCTGGATATGGTGGTGGAGGCATTTGGCTGTGCAAGCTCTGCTGGAGGACAGAAAGGAGCCGTGGGCTGGCTGCATCCCAGCACGTCCCAGTGATAACAAAGTCCTCAGATAAACATCACTCCATCGGTCCCAGCCAGCACTGGTTGCTCTCCTACGTAAGCAATAATGAACTCTTCACATCTGGCACATGCCAAATATGAAAAAAGAGCTCGTTATTGCAATTACTATCAATAAGGAGGTGTTTCTGCTGACTGTAAGACACTACCTAGTGCCGCTCAGAGCAGGAGAACGTAGAAACTATTGCCACAGTTCAAGGCCTTAATTGGGATTTAGGATTTTGAATAAATGAGGGTTAGGTGGGAGAACAACAAACAGCCTTGTGTATCGCAAATGTTTCTGTTGGGAACCCCCTAAAATGATTTTCCAACAATAAATAATATATATTAATAACCTGTAACAGAAAAGTCAGTTGTTTAATTTATCCCACATGGAAAAAAAATGTAAAAGAAGAAAAAGGAGGGAAGCAATGACCGCTCTCATTAATATTAAAAGACAGTAGAGAGACAAATCCCCCCTGTTCCCGTCTGGAACAGCAGTCTTAGCAAGCAAAATCTTTTCCACTGCAGGAATGAATTACCCAGCAATAGCAGCCTCATGCCCTAAGCCAAAGCCACCCAAGTCACAGGGCCCCCTGGTCCCCTCCCTTGTGCCTCTGGTGCTCCTTAAAATGCTGAACAAATAGGAGCTGAGGCTGCAGCTAACACCTCCTGCATTCGTTCAGAGGGACCCTACCCTTTATCTCAGGGTGCTCGATGCTGATAAAAAGCATTGGTGGGTTTTGGGAAGCAGGAGGGTTTTAGGAAGAGGAGCCACAGCGTCAGGTCTCTGCTCTGAAGTCTTTGCAATTGGGGAAGATCAGCCACGGCGGGGGGCAAGAGGGAATATGTACAACCCAGGCAAGGGCAGGTAAGGGCAATTGTGCTACACTTCGATGCAAAGGAAATGAAAGGGGAATGGAGAGACCCCTCTGCAATGCCATGGAGGAGCTCAGCAGAACCTTTTGGCACTGCTCAGTCAGTCCCCAAGGGCTGCCTGATGCTGGCCATGGGTTGTTAGGTGGGAACAGGCTCCTTTCTTTCCCCCTCCACCCTTTTCCATTCTCGCCAGGAGCTCTGAAGACAGATTTATTAACCAGAGTCTGCTTTAAAGTAATAATATCAGAACTCCCATGGCTCTTGAATTTGACAACTGGCCCAATGACCTTGGTGAGTTTGCAGCATCCCGGAGCATTTCAATCTCTATAAATCAAAGCACTTCTGGAATTGAGTCAGCCTTTGTTCCAGGGCTTCTCCTGTCTCTTCTACTCACATTTTCCTTTTGCTGTAGTTACCTGATATCTGTGGGGCAGATCTTACTCTATTCTTGGTAATACCCTTGCTACAAAGCGAATGGAGCCTACATGGGGACCCTGCTCCCACCATGGGAGCAAATCCCCAGCTCAAGCTTTGCGTGATGCGACACGGTTGCTCCAACACCCCTTAAAGCAAAGGGAATTTTGGGGTGCTGTCATGCAACAGTAGGGTCCCACATCACATCCCTTTTGCAAGGAAAAGCTTTTGGCCCTGCTCTTTGGGGTACTGATGCTCAACCCCTGCGACAGGCCAAGGCAGGGTGTGCAGTGCCCTCGGGGACCCACAGAGCTGCTGCCGCCTCCCTGCCCAGGGCTGGGTGAACTTGCTCATGAACTTGTCACGAGCCCTTTGCCACACACCCATGCCCCATTTGCAATGGCTGTTTTGGGTTGCAGGGAGACACCAAACGCAAGCAGTAAGCAGGGACACCCACCATGGCACTTCCCCAGCCTCACTACCCCCACTGCTGCCTTGTTTTTAAGCAGGTCTGCTCCCCCGGGTGCAAAATCCTCAAGCCAGCATGAAGCAGGGATAACCCGTGGCCGGGGGGATCCAGGTTTCCCCCCCGGGGGATGCCTGCTGTCCTGCTGTCCTGCAGGCAGACGGGTGGACGGACGCTGGGGAGCGGGTGGCTGCTCTCCCGTGGTCCAGCTCCTCCCCGGGGCCCGCGGAGCCGGCGGCCGTAGGGAAGCAGACTGGCTGGCTGCCCGCTCTCGCCTGCAAGTCCTAGCAGGGAAATGAAGCTATTTTTAAAGAGGAACCTCTGCTAAGTCAAACTGCAGGGAAAGGGAGGTCGAACCTCATTATCAGACCCCCCCCTCCCCACACAGGATGGGAAGCCGCGAGGAAGAAATGCCGTGCAGATCATGGAGATTTTTACTGTGCTGGCTCCGAATGTGTTGTAATAATCAATATCAGATGATCAATAACAGCAAGCCCCGACAGCCAGGACCATCCGCGCAAACCAGGGGGTGGGAGCTGTGGCTTTATCTCGAGGCTCTGTCTAAATAAATCATGAGTCATGATACAGTGTTACAGAAAAAATATGCTCCGAGCGAATGGTTTCAGTGCCATACAAATCAAGCCTGCCACTACCATTTCTCTTTTATAATATAAAAGCTTAACTTGTTCACTCCTGCAACTAAATACGCCTGCAGAACTCCCTCCTTTGAATTTTTCAATGGGAGTAAGTGTTACCTACAGCAGGAGCTCTGCTTTTAGCAAAGTAGCAATGAGGCGGCATCAAGGCATGGCAGAACACCACAATAACTATTTTATATAATGCAATAATTACGTACATAATGTGAGCCATTTTAGCGCAGCAGACTGCAACAAATAGAGTGGCTTTTCATTCTATATCATTTCATTATCGGGGAATATATATAGAGAGACAGAGTACATTTTTAATTTTTAATTCCTTGCGTCTGTGCGCATCCACACACACAGGCACAAAAACAAGAAACTAAATTCCAGCCGAAAACTTTTATTGAGCTCCAACTGCTCGCCTGTTATTCATAACCCAGTTTCCTCTCTCACAAAGAGACCTTTCGCATGGTTTGGGGTTGTTTTTTTTTTTTTTTATTGTGTGTGTGTGTGTGTTTTTTTTTTTTTT